CGGATCCTCTTGCTACCAGATTTTTGTCTGAGCGCTAAACATTCGCCATTGTCATTTCTTACGTGTCAACATCAAAGCCAACGTCCACTCCTTTCTTGGTGAGGGAGTCAACGAGGGTGGACTGGGCGGTATGTTCCTTGGGGTTGCCACCTGAAACCCCAACTGTCGGCTGTGGCAACAATTAATTATAAATTATAAGTGTGTGTACTTGCCTACTACCGATAACAAATGCAAATGTTGGAGGACTCTGTTAAGTTATGAGGTTTCCTAGACTTCCCCATACAAAAGGAGCACTGAATGACCTGGGGATTCCCCGAGTCTCTAAAATCGTTATGCTAGCTTTACACGTAGAAACATAACCCATAATTAACCTTAAAAGCAAGTCCGTAGAAGTGGTTCAACTCTCTCAAGAGAAAATGCATATTAGCTAATTAAGGAATGAGTAGGCACAAGCGTTCAATTTAGAAATTTGGGTCAAATCAATCAAAATTCGTAAATTAACAGACAACAAAGTATATGCTGATTAAAATATCACCCACATTTCAAGCTGGAAGTCTATATGCCAAGGAACGCAGACACTGTTTTAGGTGTCAGAAATATGTGACTTCAGGTAATTGTCATTGGTGAGGTTAATATTGGTATTAATCCTTCGTTGTTTAGACTGACCAATAGGAGTAAAAGAAGCCATTAGTTGCTTGCACCTATGCTTCAAGAAACCAAAATTAATTAACAGTAAGATGCTTAGAACAAAGCAGCAACAGAAGACATGTTTTGGGCACAAATATTTATAATGCCTTACCAGCGAATATGTTGACTGCAGTTCTGCGAAATCTGAAAGCCAGTTGCAGTAAAATACGCGATTTTTTCATGAAAACAAACCACGAGTTGATTCCCAAATCCTTGATTTAAAGCTTGGTATGTTCTTGTTACCAGGACAATTTCGACTAGGACTCCCTGATCATAAAGCTGTGGCATTTTTTGAGGGGTCGCGGATCATCGCAAGTACTTGGGTAATCTGTGATTCATCTACAACATTTTTTATTAGTCTATCACTCCAGACTCTAATGCAAGAACAGTAAACACATTGCATGCTCCCAGAATGCTTCAACAGAGATCTCATTGCGCCATTCGACTAGAAATGCTGCTTCATTAAAATTCGCCGATTAATTCGCAAGCCAAAGTCAGCTGGACGCAACATCATGCACTCCAATTGGCAATTATGAACTAGTAATAGCCAAAATTGTTTAAAGCTTGTGTCCCAGTAACTATTGATCTAATTTCTCTGACCACGTGCATTATCTACGCCCCCATTCAAGCTTGGGGATTAAAATCAGACGATCCAATTGCAGATTATGCCCTTATGGCTCCTTTCTGTCGTGAAGTGGGATCGATCCTGACCACGCTCTGCGCCATATTCACTTGGCTGCTTAATTACATGCCATGTTCCAACGGGGAATTGTTGGATGACATTATCACAAGCGGGGCTCGATCTATTAGTCCATGTCAAAAGCATCACATGTTTGTACCAGCAATAGGCTTCACAAGCAAGTACATGGGATGCTGAATGAAATTGCATTCCGTGTTATGCAAAGGTCAAAATACGAGACCTGTTTAGAAAAACATAGAACTACTGCTGATAGCCCTTCTGTCATGCCAAAAATAAAAACAATGGTAATCGAGAAGCATTTTATGTCACTACAGGGGAATATCAAAAAAGGCGTGACAAAATATCGTTCTCAAGGAAGTTATGATCAAAATTTGAATGCGTTTATGAGTATACGAAGCATTGCTTAACTACAACGATTGGCTACTACAGTTCAAATTCAAAATCTCCTAGAACAGAATAGGATTATGGTGTAAGACAACTCTCTAACAGAAAAATAAAACGCAGTCCTAGGCAGATGTGTACTGATGATATTGTACAACAAGGAATCTACTGCATTTCGTCGTCGTACAATGCTTGTAAATCAAAGTAAAGCTCTTTTATGAAATCATCTAATCAGAAAAAGTCCAGATTTTCCAGAATTTATTTAAATAACATCCGCACCTTTTACACAAGTTATTTAGCTAAAATCACGAATCTCTTCGCATGCTTTTTGCATATTCTGAAGAGAGCTCAATAGGGAAGAGAAGACTATCGTGGTTTATTGAATCAAAGACAACTCGCCACGCACAACCTCAGAATCAGTGCCAGAAAACGTGACTCCAGACATTTTCTGTCAAATACGGTTATACCTGACGCATTTTGACTGGAAACAGTCATGATAGGGTGATATTATGCACAAATATTTCGATGGAACGTACGAAGTAAGACCCATAAATGATGTCATCATGCGAGAAACGTTAGCACTAACGGATTCGTGACATGAACACTCAATAAGAGAAACAACAAAGCAATTAAAAATATGGTGGACGTGATAAGTGTAACTGAGAAAGAGTTATCCAGGTGAAAGAACTAATATCAGATATACCTGTAACGCTTGAGTAGGAATAATGGATAGACGGCAAAAGATTGCAGCTTTGCTGGATTGCAATTTTACAAAGCACATTTGGTACAAATATGATTTTGCCCAAAATGGATTTTTGATTTGTATTTTTAAGATATCAAACAACAGTTGTTGCGTTCTGTCGATTCACAAGCCATCAAGAATACCCACGAGAATAAATGCTCCGCCGAGGTTTTCGTGGGTTAATAAGGTTTAGCAGCAATTGGCGTAAAAATACAACCATGTTTTAATGTCTATTGTGTACTTTATGCGACTTTTAAAACTTTGTCACTATGAACACAGGAGACTTTTTAAACGGATCCCGAAAACCGACGTCGCTTTATATTCTTTGAAATCATTTTTGTTCAACGAACTTAGCTTTTGTTTTAACTCATTTTATTGTGTTTAACTGTGCACGCTTGAGCATTTTAAATACTATTTACCATATTTCGCCTATGACGCTATGTTTTAAATGTTTTAAGTTAAAACAGTAAAGCTGGTTTGCTATTCGTCTGCCACTTCCAGGCATCTTTATACAAGTGCTTACTATTCGCATTTCAAAGGACCTTTTTTACAATTAACGTGCGCTTCTGGAAAAGCAAGTTTACATGCACCTGAGTGGACGCATCTTCTTCAAATGGATAGCGAGATATAAAAATGGAGCTGTTCACTAACCTACCAAAGGTTGACGAATGTGTCAGCAACCTTAATCGCTCACAAAAGTGATATTGAAATGTCTTTGACAACATCGTGCCTAATTGCTGTCATCAAAGCAAATACGAATAATCAAAAGCAAAATCACATTATTACGTTAAAAAAGCATTTTTTGTGAAAATAATGGGCACACCAAAATGTTTCCTTTCAACTTTGAACGATTTTGGCTCTTCCGCTGACATCAATCTCGAGTTGGATGAGGATGCAGTAAATGGGACACTGATTAATTATTCAAACATATAGCGCACAAGAAGTAAGATTAAAGAAGAATGTTGCCGTAAATTGGGACAAGCCGATAAATATCCCTCCGGCTCAAAAAGTGAGCAGCTCGCGAAATAACTGAGCCTGTAACGTGATCGAAAATATTCCGGAATCTTGTACATTTTGTCAAATTTAAATTCAGTTTTTCTTAAAGCCGTCATAGTTAACAAACAGAGCTAACGCTGGATTACACCACAGCTAGTTAAAAGTTACGTAGCAAACTACTATATATTTTGATCATACCTGGACCAACATTAAACTGAGAAGTGAGTTAATCTCCACAATTTTGCCTGAACTCCACTGAAAGTCCTCATATCACATCGAAATAGTTTCCAAATAATGATTTAACTAAAGGCATTAGTTCAATTAATTTAAATTACTAGATCTGCACACTTAAATATAAAATAATCCACTGTTCCAATAACTTTGTTCCTGTTTTTCAGTGCAGCTGCTAATCCACAACTATAGGCTTCCTGCGGTACTTTTTAAAATATAAATAATTATTGTGCTACATATCCACTGTAAAGTCTTTAACAGTTTGTAGAGGTACAACTTTTTTAATGTTGATTGTTTTAATGAATGACCGTGCGGACTCACGTTTCTGTGACCATACTCTCGCCATGGTCGCGTGCTACGTGTTTTTTAGGCCGTGGCATGTCCCTATTATTGTAACTCGTCTCTTGGGGTATGCTAAGATGTGAGTCGAGAAACTCGGTCAGTATATGCTGGTCGCTTCAGTAAGTCTCCCTTAATGATGCTTAGGAATCTCATTGATATTCCTGATAAGTACTGCTTTTCTGATGTCATTTGAAGTAACAGACGTTTTCTTTAGGGTCTTCAGCCTTCACAGATGCTACAAATAGATTCTATCTGGTAAGATGTTAAAAAGTACTTTATCGCATGGCACTGCTGCCTTTTGGCTCCGTCGAAAGATGTGTGGCCATAGGGTGGCCGGGTAAACGCCGTGAAGGTTTTCACGCATCCAGTGTGCCGCATAGGGAAGAGACAGTTCCCGTAACTAGTCCTCGTTACAACATTCCATCGTCGTGGGTAGTCGAATCGACAGTGAACTCACGAAAAGCCGTTGTAACGACAATCGCTTATCGGGTATCCTCCAATTATTGTTTAAGTAGTTTTTTGCATCCATAACTGTTGTTTAACCTGCTCCTCTTTAGGTCCTTCGAATGCTGTCGATTTGCGAAGATCACTGGAACTCCAAATCATCCAGTAAAGCCGTATGCTACTTGGTGCATGCTAAGAGGGTGGATCAGGTCTTTTTCGACAAGACCGAGGGAAGTGCATGTTGAGGGTGTCTGTATGTACCAGATTTACATGTCATCTTATATCAAATAAACCTATTGAGGGTAGCTTTACATTACGTGTTTTGCCTGACATTCTTATCCTTGGTTTTGCGCGCGTGCCGAGATCAGCGTTGTTTGTACTTTGGCACTGCCTCTCCGTGGCTCCATCGAAAGATGTGTGGCCATGGAGTGGCTGGGTTAACGTCGTGAAAGCTTTCATGCATCCATTGTGCCATAAATGGAAGAGACAGTTTTCGTAGCTAGTCCTCGTTACAACATTCCATCGTCGTGGGTAGTCAAATCGGCAGTGAACTCACGAAAAGCCGTTGTAACGACAACTCTAGTGGCCCTGCCGTTGGTATTCTTCCACATCGGCAGCACTCGTTTCCGGTGCCCTACGGCTGCTATTCCGGGCCTATGTTGGTTATTGCAGAGTAAATCAAAGAACCTTAGCACTTATATGGTTTACACGTGTAGGCAGCAGAAGCCGCCGGAGTCAGAGGCTCGTCCGTATATGCATCTGTCAAGGCGAAGTCGTGTTCCGTGCGTGTGGGCCGCTCGCTTGCGTAACATCTACCGACTATGCTCATCATACCTCCATGAACTAGTGTAGACTTCCTCTTTCGCCCCACAGCATTAACCGTTAATGCTCTGCAGTCAAATTAACTTCAATACAAGGTGGGGTCGTATAATTGAGCAACCGAGCGGTTTTAGTCCTAGGTACTTGTGTAGCCCAATTTAGTTCCTAAGGCCAAAGCAAGGTGCTTACCCAATCTGACTAATATAAGTATTACCCACTTTTTACGCATCACGGCATAGAGTAACATCCATCTGAAGTAAAATTCCATTAAACTCTTGATAGGCAACACTAGAGGCTTAATTGTGTAGGCGAGAAAAGGCGTGGGGGTGGTACGTGTACTTGTTAGGTCACAGCAGACGTTGAGTGTAGGAAGCGGATCAGTTGCAGTCGTGTCGTCACCGAGGCCGTGGGAGATAGGCAAGGCGGTTTGAAGAGCAGAAAATGGTCACGTTTTTAGAACGGGTGGTGATTCATACAAGTACTAGGAACTGTAAAAATAAGACTGGAGATCCATTAACCCTCCTGACCAAAGTCACGGGTAAATTCGCGCTGCTTTTCAAGGTCCGCTTCATTGACCGTTGGTTTCGAACGACGCACTGCCTGAACCATGTCGTCCTAGAAGGAAAGCAATTAAGGGAGCAATTGTGAAAAACAGACGACGGAGAATGGTATTTAACTACTAGCAACACTTCCCTAAAAGCTGGTGATTAAAGGTAGCCTACAGTCCTAATGTGGACAGAACAATATCATTTTGGGCTTGTATGTTAAAAAAGAGCTATTCAAGAAGCCTTTCTTTGCCTTCGACCCCAATACTAAAATATTTCAAATTTAGTCGCGGCAAATAGCTGGTGTCATTTTCTGGTTAAGAGCTACTGCATCTCCAAAAAAAGGTTAAATTTAATGGAGGAATGAGACATTTCGCATAACGTTTCTAAAATTTCCAAAAAACAATATTATAAATGGTCCATTTCGATCCCAGGCATGGATGGAAATACGTACTTATACCTACCAAATCATCGTAAATGCAGAGACGCATTTCAAGGCGTCAAACTGACTAAACAAATGTGCTTATTACTCAAGCATTTAAGTGGCATGTTCTCAACTTGCCGAGGTTGGCAAATGATCTTAGTTTAATTTAAGCGACGTGCGAAATGTTTCCGTTTGTCAAGGTTTAACCAAGCATAATTTTGGAAGGAAACAGCATTTGGTGAAGCTTCTTACCATGGAAACAACGGGTTCAAGGAGCTTGTCTCCTGGGACCTGCGTCCAATCCATCTCCACGGCTCCTGCATCGCCGGGCGAACAGGGGCTCCAAAGGTCGTGAACGATCACAGACTTATCAGAAGGAGATGGTCCACTGACCTGCATTAAGGCACATATTAATTCTGAATTTGTAGCATTAAATTAGACAGATAACAGGTTCATTGAATGCAAAGACAACAACTCTACACTGTAGGCAGAGGTCAATGCTAACAAAGGCGCGTGACCTATGAAAATTACGGCACGAATTAACCAAATGCTTTCAATAAGGCGAGCCGTTCGAGGCGGCAGGGCCGATGGGAGCAAGAGTGACAATCAATACAGCTCTGAGCTGCTGGAAAGTCGCGAATCTCTTTCAGGACAATGACATTCCAATTATTACGCGCTGATATAGGAAGCTTCTGCTTTGGGCCGTAAAGGTAGGTCACGTTTACATAGCAGCAAATTTTGATAACTGTCTGTATGAATCGCTATTTTAAGTGTTTAATCTTCGATTACCCAAATATCGTTTAAAACACTAAAGCCATAAGATATACGTTATTCACGATTTGAGTGCATTCGACCTGACTGTCAATTAGCCTATAACGGTTGACACATGAAACAAACAAATCACTCACGCGCTGAAGAAAATGGCATGATATAATGCATGTCTTTCGTCACCAAAATCATGTACACATCAACTAAGCGAACTACGATAAAAACAAATTCCTTCCCGCCAGCCTGACGCCAAACAACAGTAGCTCGAGAGAGGCGAGATCAAGCGAGGATGTGGCGACCACATTGAGCACCAGCCAAGCGCAATCGTAGAAACAATGGTCGACTAATGGCAAGTACTAAGGCCACCAGAACACACGACAAAAACAGTGGCTCCGTCGAAGGTATCACCAGTGTGAACCTCCTTTGTTAAAACTCCCACTGAGACAGTAATTGCTTTATGACAGTACATAGCCAATAGCAATGCAGCTATGAGAAAGTCATGCACATTGGCTGCAGCTGTTTGAATGACTACGTGGTTATTATTAACGAACGCTAATTGTGTGAACGAGGAGTTGGGCTGAAATTGCTAAGCCAACTCCCCAGACACGAGACAAACTTGACGCTCAGCCCACTTCCTGAGGTTGAGTGATAATGTTCTGAATTAGCCTTGATAAAAGCTCTCAATAGTTGACACAATATTTTTAATAATTGTGGGGGCGTGACAATGCCACGCGCACAACCCACCAATGCTTCTGGGGTCGATAATTACATTTGTGATATTTATTTCGTCAAATTTATCAAGTGTCAGCTACATTCTCTAGCACAGCCAAGTTAAAAAAAGATCCGTATAACAAAGTAACATTTTATTTTCAAACAGTATTCTGAGAATAACAAACAAGGATTAAAACTGGGAACTAGCTAGTTCAGCGCATCTTAACAAACCCACCATACAAGCTGAAAGAATGCACTAGAAAGCATCAGGCAGAATTCACTAACGCTTCTCCATCGATTTAAATATTAGTTTTCTCCTAAATAAGACTGACCTTGCATGCTAACTGTGAAACGTGTAACTGCGGAGAATTAAGTCATTTAGTTACCTTTTATGGCTCCAAATACTAATGGATATCAGAAATGGATTAAAAATACAGCCATTTATGTGTCCTTGTGTCGAATGATTTTTATGTGGAATTTAATGAAGACCTGAAAATAACGGAGCAAGTCAGCAGACTGCGATGAGAAACACGGAGAAATGCGAGCTATCACTGTTTGTTGTAATCCATAAGGTGGATAAAACCATTTAACGATTTATTTACCTTTAAGCAAACGGTAGAACAGAATCAAACAGTGAACACTGGGTAGTTACCTGCAAGTCACGTGTAGTTTTTATTTGGTCGTTACGAAATTTTCAAAAAAAAATTAAAAGTCTAAGTACGGTCTCATTGATGGACTTTTAATGACGCGTCTATGACGGTTATGTACCAATGAAAATAGCTCTTGGGACGAATGTATAATTGTCAAAATAAACTCGTAAATATGGAAAAATCAAAGAGTAATGACATGTTGCCATTGTATTGCAACTAGCAGTTTTGCATACTCGGTCTCACAAATAACAAAAGCATAAAAATAGAACAGTAAGGAGATTGAATAAATGCCACGTACCTTTTTAAAGTGAGTGGCAGTCTGAACCTTACGAATAGGTGACATAAGGGCTTCTCGAACACATATAGCAATGTCTGCACCAGAATAACCATTGGTTATTGTGCCCAACTGCTTGAAGTCAGAATCCGTTAACTCGTGGGGTGTAGTGCCCAGATGAATCCGGAACATTTTGGAGCGAGCAGGCGCTTCTGGAAGAGGAATGTATATTCGCTTCTCAAAACGTCGACGGATAGCGGAATCAAGACACCAAGGAATATTCGTAGCACCCAGCACAAGTACGTCTTTGTTATTGGTCCCAACACCCTAAATTGAAAGTGAACACTTCATTACGACCGGAACTTCACTTGAATAGCGAAATGTTTTTTCTTCACACAAACCTGCATTTGGACTAGGAATTCTGTTTTTATTCGACGCGCTGACTCAGATTCGTGTTCATTCCGAGAGCCGCAGAGGGAGTCTACTTCGTCAATGAAGACAATACTAGGTCGGTGTTCGCGAGCCAACTCAAACAGGTTCTTTACCAACTTTTCGGATTCTCCCAGCCATTTACTCACCAAATCCGAGCTGGATATTGAGAAGAATGTGGACTTATTTGCTTCCGTTGCAACCGCCTTTGCAAGATAGGATTTACCGGTGCCAGGTGGCTAAGGTAAAAGGGTTGTGAGAGTAATGTACTAGGAACCAAGCACGAAGGAAACTCAAGAAAGCCAACTTACGCCATATAACAGAATGCCTTGCCATGGCGTTCGTTTTCCAGTGAATAAATGAGGGAATCTAATGGGCAGAATAACGGCTTCCTTCAACGCTTCCTTGGCTGCCTCAAGGCCAGCAACATCATCCCATCGAACGTTGGGTTTCTCCATGACAATGGCATCACTAAGTTGATTCTGGAACTTAGTCTTTTCGGTATCTTCGTCCTTATCGTCTTTCGTGCGCTTTTTTTCCGCTGTACCCTCCGTGGCGGCCTAGGCAGAAATTTCGATTAGCAAAGACCCCTGCTGGACTTAAAGAGATGTGTCGCGGATAACCACTTTATCACACAACAAGGTAGGTTTATGTTAGGTTAGGCAGCACGAGTTCCTATAACATAAGTTTAAATCCCTCCGAAGATTTTGATTATATATTTAAATAATGGTAAAAAGAAAGTATATGTGATTATGAAGTGAAACTGAGAAGTGGATGTTCATAGGAACTATCCCAAATACGATAACAGCAAATCCTGATTAGAAATTCCTTACCAAAGATCACAAATTTTAATTGTAAACTAAGAGTGTCCCTAGAACATGAATTCCTGAAACAGTTTTTAATTAGCTAAAGAACATGTTTTAAAATGGTCGTGTTAAATAAATTAACATTTGTGCCACTATTTTGGTCTATCTGCGATTTTGTAAACGTAGTTCAATGTACCTAAAAGTATAACAACAGCCATATAAAAATGTGATTAATTTCATGAGAAGAACAACACGGACAAATCAGAGTGATGCAAGCACATGGAGATGTAAAAAAATGACGAAAATTCGGGGCAAATTATATTTCGAGATGATGATCGCTTACTTCCTCGGTGGCCGGCGATGATTCAAGATATTGTTTAATCTTTTCCGCACGATCCAAATATTGCATAACCTTCTTCTTAATGCTCTCCTTAGATTTATCGTTATGACATCCGTCTATAAAAATTAAACGCGGCAAAATAACACTACATTTTAAGGCGTGTAGCATGTAATCACAGCCTATTTGATACAGCCGTAATGCTTCTTCATAATTCTTCTTTTTATCCTCGTCTGTCGCGCGTACCACTGTTTCAATTCCTTTCTAAAATATAACATCAACACTATACCAACGACCTACGTTAAGTGCCGCATTAGGATCGCTAGCCATCCTGTTAAAAACGAAAGAAGGGTTCTCAAACTGCGCGTCAAGTTGTTTAAGAACTTAAACACTGTGCATTTAAATTGAAAAGTTTTGTGCTAAGCTTAGTTTAAACTTTACTGTTTTCAACTTTCATATTGATAACTTTTAAGTATTAGTATTATAGTCACCATTCGACCAACGCACACCGGTCTTGTCTGTAGTTTTTTTTCCGGTATTCATCCGCATTGATGGGTCGTGGGGCAGCCATGATCCTCTCGATTGCCATTCTCTTCCTTTTACCACTCTAGCTCTCTTACTTAGATTTAGCCTTATTGCTCTTGTACTTAATTGTCTGGAATTTATCGAATTCATTCTAACATTCTCGTGTCGCATAAATGGTTGTCAAATGTTATGTGGCGCTCCCTTAGAGACAGACTGATAAAGAACCTACCCTTATACGTTATAAAACAGGAACTTTGAATGAAAATACTCGAAAATGCTGCATGTGTGAAAAAAAGATAAAAAGTTTTTTCTAATTCTCTGATGTTGAACGGCCATAGGTCATTAACAAAGGACTCGCTAGGGGACATTGTTCTTTTCCTTGGTTTTATTTTAATGAGCATTTAGCTGCGATTTATTAGGACAGTGAATATTTGCTGCAGCCTCAACTGATAACATATTCAAGAAGTCATATCACACATAAAACTTGAGGTAACTGATAGGTTAGTCTAGTGCATTCAATTGTAGCCCATTAGAATACCAGCTACACAAAAATAAAATACGAAATCCTTTTCATTCGTCGGTCAATCAAGTCAAATGTTGTTAACAAATCTATTTTTTAAACTTGAATCACGTGTATTAGCGCCGGTGCTGTTCACCTGTCCACGATATATATTTTACCGTTCAAGCTATGTTAAATGCTAATATCAGACCATTTAATTTTCAAAGCCACTCAACCTTGGTTGATTGTCACTCCCATCTCACAAAAAGGTATTGTCATATACCTAATGTATTCTAGACCACCGGATTCAGGGCATTAGTGCAAAAGGGTACGTTGATATTCATGTGGACATTCAAGTTAAGGTACCCGAGGTGGATGAGTAAGCCAGTCGTAGAGTACTTTGGTGTTTCGAGCACGGAGATCATACATGCTTGGAACAGTCATCATACCCTAAAACTGAGTCACAGTGTGACGAGTGGTTAAGGAGCATAAAAAATGAAGCAGAATATCTCAGAAGAAAACATTTGAACAATTGATGGACCAGAATGAAGTGCATTACCAAGGTGGTGCGTTTAAATTGACAGTCATTCTTGACTGTTCAAAACTGATGGGATTTTTAGTAAAATATAGTAATTCCTCTGGCCAATAGGGTAGTAAATGCTATAAATGAGACCTCTGACAAATCAAGCAAATTCAATGCAATTTATTTCCCACGTAAAAACTCGAATTGAAATTTACCCTGTGTTAGAACTAAGCCCAATGTGTAGGCATTAATGCCATTGTTGGTGGACTGAAAAACCTTAAAGTTGGTTGCAACCCATAAAACTACATGCTGACTGTTAATGTGTGAACTTAGGTTTCAGGGACATTTTTTACATAGGAATTAAGTATTTCACAAAAATTAAAAAGCAACCATGCGTTCAGAAGGGTTGGAGAAATGGTAGCGTACTTCATGTCTCTGGTCAGTAAATTAAATTTTAGTCTCCCTTAAATATCCTAATCGAAAAAATTTAACCATATTCGCGGGTTCGTTAGATAGTTTATGTGCAGTTAAAATTTTCCTATGTTCGAAAATTAGACTATTGTTTCGAATTTATTTTATGCTGCCACCGGTACCTGGTGTTTCCTGATTCGGAAAAATTCTGAAAACGTGAGGCTTCCACTGATTAAAAAAATCGATTCATTACATTTAGATAGATCGATAAAGGGGTATAAGGGTGGTAGAATGTAGGCAAGGGAACCTAAATTTGACACATCTTAGTTTTTTCCGAGTTAATAACAAGAACAGAGCCTTAGTAGTTTCCGTGACTTTCACGTTAATAACTTTAGATTTTGTTTAAACATTTATTGTGGAAACCACGGCTGTTGGGTTCTAGTAAAACACTGCAATGATTTTTTGGTAGATATGTGATTAACCAGTAATTTTTTGAATCTCATGCGAACTGAGAGGTCGGTTTGTTTTCCTCAATAGTTAAAAGTACATCCAATTCTGGGGCTTTGCTTGCACCAAATCAAATCATTGTGAGCAACGATTTACGTGGGGCAATTTAAATCTAATCTACATGCTGAACATCTCTAACCGATTCGCAGCTTTCAACCAGTTTGTACCAACAAGGAGGTCAGCAATTTAGATGCTTCAGAAGCGATGAGTTAAAGCGGTTTGTAATGTTTGGCTTGACACTATGGCAAAGTAATAAAAGGATTTTTCCATTGCTGTGCATGGAAATCCACGGTTAAAAAACAGATGTGAGTCCATATTGCCTGGTCCTAAAATAGACCGTTTGCCTGGATTCAACTAATTAAGGCTATTAACACATTTCACAACTTTATGACTTTTGTAATTCAATAGCTTGTAACTGAGAGCTGGAAAACTATGTGACTCTGCAAATGGCGCCATATGAGGCATCTCAAGTCGTATTTACATATCAATAAGTGATACGGTTAAACCCAGTGAAGCTATTTGATGGGTAAATTTGAATAAATCAATAGGACAAATAAACCAATTATTTCGTCGAATTTTTTTATGGATATTTATGGGGGCACGCAATGCATCTGTTATCTGTTTAGTCCTTGTTAGGTGCATGAGATAGCCCTATTAGTCTAAATTTAATAAATGGCCGTTAAAAATTTATAATCATTTTGTGATTTTTTTTTGGAATTTGTGACAGGGAAATTTAAAAGGCTCTAGACGCAAGAATCGGGGAGAATTCGCCCATTACTTTGTTAGATGTTAGTCCAGATAGGATTTCAATGTCAGGAGATGTTGTTTTGGAGAATCTGAACTAGCAGGGAATAAGAATCTTGACAGATGTTTTTGCATGGCTTACTACTTATTATAGAAACCGAGTGTGTAATCACTGAACGTCAGTGTTGGCCAACCACGACGATAGTGAGAAATACTAACAATAAATTGTGCAGGACAATGAAAAATGCTGAACGACTATAATTTTTATAAATGCAGGAGCAATTATTCTGCAAGTTGTGTGGTGATTCTGATAAGGAAGGAATTGTCTCGAGTTTCAGCGATCTTGTGCTAGAATCCTGTCTCATGTGTCCTATGCTATCACAGAACTAATCCAAGTCAAGATTGGTTTTAACTGTTGAGCTTTCGTTTCACGGTGTAAAGGCAAAAAATGTGCAATTTGATGCATCCAATAACTCTCAGATTAACATGTACCCAACGTGGTGCTTACAAATTGCTTCTAAATGGCTTAAGTAGCTTCGATACCAATAATTCGATGTGATTATGTCAAATAGGTTTTAACATCATTGGCTGATTTTAGGCGACCTATTCATGTCTTTTTAACTCAAGTTGGTGAATTGCATTTTCTTTAATACAAATTCGGTTCAGCAGACTGAATAAACAGACTGAGGTCAGACTGGTTGCGTACCAAGGAGGTGGCGCAGCCACCCCGTAAGATTTGCATAAATATAGGTGCAATTTCTACAATGAATAATCAACTTAGTAACGCAAACATAACAACAAATTAATGTTAGGACGTGAGTCACATTCAATCAGCCGCCCTGCGAGAAACAGACTCACCGGGTGGTCAGCCGGTAAAGATGGCTGACCACTAGTGTACAATCGACCAATGAAATAACTAAAAGGTCGGGTAATTATAGATCAAGTCAAGGTCAAAGAAATACGGTTTTAGTATACTCAGTCGGGAAATTACCGGCAACGCATTTTGTCACAGGAAAGCCGATTGTGTTGTCATAGTCCTGATCGCACTCATTTGTGAAAGTTAAGCCGTCATTCGTTACTTACAGATGTATTTTCGAAATAAACTCGGTTAAATTCGTTATTTTTTTGCAACTGATTGGCGTGTTGAAGTAGTTGTCAACACTTAGTATCTTGAAATGTGCCAATTTCGTGCCTTGTTATACTTGTAAAGCTGCTTTTCCAACAGCATACACAAGTGCACGTTGGTAGGTCTTTTGCTGAGCAAGTAATAAGCAATTGTATACAATGGTCTCGAAGTAAAGTAATTTTTTGTCAAAATATGGTAAATGGTATTGAGGTTATGTTGGCAGAATTTATTAAAACAAAAGAGAAATAGCTGGAAATCCGTTACTTAACAATACGCATTAAAACTAAGGTCGTGTTTTAAAATTAAAATGTGTAGTGGAGCGTTTCCTCTTATAAGTATTCATGACGCCACACAAACTCGTAGAACGCAGCACGTGGTGCGGCAATACTGGAATTCTGAACAAGGAGAAGCTGGGAAAACCAGTAGTGTTTTCTGCGTTATTTTTATTTTCATAATGCACTTTAAACATGCATGGCCAGGAAAGCCGCAATCCATTTCCGCGTGTTCATTATTCTTAATTAAGTGATAAACGCATTTCCGATATTAGTGCTTTCATGTGAACAAAAGATGCTTCACTGTTCTAATTACCCCAACGACCAATTTTTTATTCCTTTGATGTTTCTCAAATTTAGTCTTCCTGTTTTGACCCTGGTATTTTAACCTTGACCGCACAATGACATCAATGTGCGGCAACGACAAAAAATTCCCGACGACCTGCATCTGACAAGCCCAGAGTTGTTAAAGCTGACTTTAAATGATTTTGTTGCCCTGACATGAGTAATCTTCCTATCACCAAAGATGGTAGTTGTAAATCCTGGAGACCGGCGACCCCTCGGTGACTTATGAGCCGTTAACATCGTCACAAGTTATGATCAGTTTCGACCTTTCCGTATCCACACCATTTTTCCTTTGGTTAGGCAATATTCCAGTCTTTCTTTGAGCTAACCGTGGTCTACCTTTAGGAACAAATGATATGCTGCTCTAAATATTTATCG